GGTAGAGTACAGAAGTTGACAGTAACATCACCGATTCGACCACCGACCGTGATTTTATCCATGAAATTAAACACAACCATATCACTTAGATTAGAATCGATAATACTTTGGTGTTCGATAGAGCCATGCTTTACCTGGCGACGGTATTATATTAAAACAGAATGCAGTTCCTATATTTTGATGATTTTCAAATTCAATTGATTTGTTTAAAGATCGAGTAATCAGCTCTAAAATTGATGCACCCGATGTTGATCGTCGTCTCTCAGCATTTGTTGTTGTTGCATCCACCGCTTCTTCAATTCGATCAAAACTAATAGAATATTGATTTCGATGATTGACACTGGCCGGTAGGAAAAGGTTTGAGTTATTGCAGAAACCAACGGCGAGGTACTGTCCGCTGGCAACAAAGAATGCTGTGTCTTCTGCGATGTGGAATGTTTGTACGCCGTCCTTCATTTGAGATATTTTATGCGCAGGTATTTTATAGTGCGATACTATCGAATACTTTCTTGGAACGCTATCATTCGTAGACGAAATGACAAACAGCCAAATCTCAGGAGATGGCTCACCTTGTTTGGATGGTGCAACAACTCGAAAATTAATCGAAACGTTATCAACGTAGCCATTAGTTGTTACCATATCGACGGAATTAAAACTAATATTGTTTGTATAATCAACTTCTTCCTGCTCATCGTTTTTGGGCTTTCCCTCGTCAAATATATTGTAAAGAACACCGTAGCTATTGCCTGAAGGTAAAAGGATGTGAACTGTTAACAGAATATAAAAATATCTTTAACTTACTAGCATCGCTATACTCTCTCATCTGAAACGAAACAATGATTATTTAAGCAGAGCTGGGCAAGTCAGCCCTTTTTCAAGTCTTGGCAGAAAGCATTGAATTCAGGCATTGGGTGGCAGCAACAAAATATACTATTTACTTTTTTATAAAGTCACTTTTTTTCATGGATCCAGAACAGCATCAAACTCAAGGATTTACACGCTCGTAGGATAGATTCTTGATCTTTGGTTTTAATCATGATATTCGAAGCAAAGCCAATGAATTATATTTCATCAGATAGAGCATCGAGTGTACTTTAGAATCATCCAAAAATATTTGGCATCCCGAATTGCAGAAAAAATTTTCATCGAAATACTTTGCCAGAAGTATCTAACTTCTAGATGGTTGGACATGTTTTTGCCCTAGTGTGTCTTCAGTTATAGTCGCAATGGAGCAAATTATACGTCAATTGATACAGTTTTCTCTGAGCTACAAGAATATGCAGAATTTCTTAGGAATGAGACTGCACAACAGGTACAAAAGTTTCGGGTACTATCGACTGCTCTGAAAAACCGTTCTTTCACCGGTTTTTCGCCATTTTCTTAGAGAAACGTTCTTGTAAGCCGAACAAGTACCATATTCGAAACCAGCGTCAAAAACTGAGTCATTTATGTTTGTTTCAAGTCGCCGAGATAGTCTTCAAATTTTGTCGCAAAATTCGTTAAAGGGGTGGGCCAAAAATAAAATCTAGAATCTATAAAAAAAATGGCTTTCTAGCAAAAGTAAATAGTATGTTTTGTTGGCATCTATTGCTTTGATTCTATGCATTCCATACAAATATATCCTGAAGTCAGCCGATTCAGACCATATTATGATGATTCTCGATGCAGTCACGAAACTTCTCTTAAAATTGGAGAAAGAATTGAAACGTTCAAAGCGTTAAATACATTTTGTGGTCTGTTCGATTCTGTGGAAGCTTGAGGTAGATACACTTTGTAGAAGTCCTCTTGTTTATTTTTTATTTTCTTGTCCAGAATCGATGCTCCTGACAACGGCAGCAGAGTATTCGAATCCTGTAACCAGAAAAAATGTATAGAACAAAGCACTTTTTAATGTCATTAGTACTAACTGCTATATCATCATACAGCTCACTGATATCAATTAAATTTCTTAATCGGCCAAATGATGCACCGAATTCCATCAGTAATATACAAAATTGCACTGAATTTAGACGCACTGCATTTTTCAGTGCTTCATCTAATTGAAAATCCTAAAAAGAATGTCGGCTCACATTATGTCACTATATCGCATATTTATAAGCGTTCTCACCGTCCATTTCACAATTTTCTCGTCCGTTAATATCTGTGTTTGAACCCTTTTATATTTATTCCATGCCATGGCTAATTTTAGTTCTTCAACATGTTGTGGCTCTCCACTACCAGTTTTAGCTTTCAATTCAGCAGCTAAAACAAACAAAAGTCACTTGGGTAATACTAATACATAGCTGCCACTATTTAGACTTACCGTTAAAAAGTGCTTGAAGTATGGCATCATCGAGCTTATATTTTTCTGAACCGAAATTAAATACATTAATTAAGAAATAACCAATTTCAGAGGCCATAATACGTAAATAATCGTCGCGATTAGTTTTATTAATACAGGGGTGTTCTGTTCTACTCTTACTAAAATGCCGAAAATGATTTTGTCACTAGAGTTCATGCTATTTCATAGTAAGTAAAATATATCCAACCACATTTCAACAGTAGTCAGTCAGTCATCCCAATTTTGGCTACTTCGCGACATCACTGGATAGTGAAAAAAAGCAACAGAAAACAGTTTTCACATTACTTACAAAGCTTCCAAGTTTGTTTTATATTCATCAGTTTCACATAACTTTATATACTCATCCATAGATCGTTTTTTATCCGTTCCATACAACTTTTGATGTTCCTCAGCTATCAAATCAGCTGCTCGCCCAGTGTTCTATTCGACGAAAATCGGTGAATAAAGGAGCAAGTTTAAGGTTATAAATTACGCACCGCAATGACAATCAACGGTGTTCTTGAATCCAATGCCTTGTTAATTGTCAGGATCGATGATGGCCCTCCTTCAGCTAAGATCTGTATGACGGGTACTTTATAGTAGTCTAAATGGAAAAACTCCTAAAAGTCGATTAATTCTGACATAAAAGATCATACTTTGTTTATTTTTGCTCTTTCGTATTTCACTGGCTTCCCGTTCAATAGCAGCACGATGATGCAAAATAAGATCAGATCGTACGCCATCTGGAAAAGTCTTTTTCCATTCGTCACTTTCACCATAACCATCATCCAGCAATAAAAAATGCGTGTGATTCGGGTCTAATGAGGTGCTTTCAGATTTTACTGAAACAGCTGGACGATTACGATACAATTTTATTCGTTGCCAGTTATCCTTTTTCTTGACAAGTGATGACGGTGGATGAGCTGGATAGTTAAACTAGAAAAATATGTACCACATTTTTAGATTCTTAGATCCCAAGCAAAAATTCTCTATGTAGTGGATCTAGCTCCAACAGAGACGTAACCGGGCTTAGCATATTGCACATTTTTTAGTTTAGCTCCATTTTTTTTGCTTGGGATACAACTCTCATGTTTCCTTGCTACTGCTACCGTTTGCTAAGATCTCGGTGTGTTCTAGCTCAGTGAGTTCAACAACGAATCGGAGAAACTCCAGCCGGAGTA